CACACACATGCATACATACACGCATATAGTATCTGTGTGTGTCTGCAGGGTCAATGCTGCCTGACAGTCGGCACAGCTCTTCAACTTTAATGCGATTTTAAAGATGCCCACAGCGTCGAGAGCTGTCTAGAAACGAGAAGCAGACTGCAGATGAGGTCGTGACACGAATGGCTGGTTGGATTAATTTTTATTTAATTTTAGCAGCATTTAAAATGCTTTAAATTTAAAGATAATTGTAGGTAACTCTAATCTCAAGCTATGATAGGAATATTTATAACGGTTAGTTTTGCTTCTCTTTGTTACCTAAGAAATATATGTCTCACAAAAGTCTAATAAATTTAAATACCAATATCAAATCTTTTAAGAGAAACAATGGATTCGTTCAAATATAAAATCGAAACAAAAACAGATGCACTCTAACTTAAATGTATCTATGCCAAAACAAAAGCCATTATTTACGAAAATTTAAATGTATCTCAAACTAACAAATTTGCAAAATCTTTTTCCAGGAACCCCTGGTTTTCTCTCGAAAACAAATGCAAATTCGCCGGAGTGGAATGCATTTTTAGATGCGCTGGCCATTTGTTTTGTGTCCTGACTTAATTAACGCTGACTTACTCATGTTGCCAGGACTCGTACACCACGATCCCTGCTCCTTTTGCTCCTTTTGACCCCCCACAGCTTCTCTGTAAGCCGCTTGCTGGCATTGTTGCTGTCTTTTGTTGATAATTACTTTTGATAACTTGGCTCTCTCACTTAGTGAGTCTGTCTCTGGCTGTCCCCTCTTCTCTGTTTTCCCTTTTTCCACTAGTTTTCCCCCCCGCGTTTCCAGTATTTTCCCCTTTATTACGCGGTTTTTCGGGTTATTTTATAGTTGTTGCTGGCGGTTTTTGCAGCCGGCTTGCATATGGCGCCATTACAGAGCTTATTAAACAAGCTTTCGCATAAGCTTTAGTTTTAGTCCCCATCCGAAGGGCTCCCCTCTTCGCGCCATTGCCAACTACCAACTGCCGGCTGACTGGGCTAAGTGCTCCATAAGCCTTGAGGTAGGTCAAGTAAAAAATTTCAACCAGGCTCGAAAAGAGCAGCACACACATATCTCTGTGAATAATGCAATTATCATGGAGTAAAGCTGCGATGCAAGACCATGAAATATTCACGAAGAGATGCTCGAAGGGTTAAAGCTGCTGGTGATATGGCATTTAAAGTTGGTGGTACTACTTTTTGCTGTTAGTATAAGCTTAAAGAATACATCTTTTCAAAATAAATAAGATTGAAATTTGAACCAAAACAAGAGGAGAGTTCATAAAGTAAAGAATTAAACTAATCAAACAGCAATTCAGGCAACTGTTTTAAGTTCAATTTATTAAGAGAAAGCAGCATTAAATTTCACTATTATTGCTTTTCAATTGAGCTTTTTAAAGGGGAAATTCGACTGGGGAAACTTCATAAGAAAATGTCTTTCCCATTTTATGCATATTTGTTGGCTTAGGAAGTGTTTGGCCCAATAATATTTGCCACTCTATTTACATATTGTAAGGCACCCAATTTTCTCCCCCATTTCCCGCCCCTCCCCATCTATTTTCTCCCCTTTCTCCCCATTGGCATGCAAATGTGTGTGTCTGTGCATAATTTGCCCTGTTGTTGTCGTTGTTTTTGGATGTTTCTGTTTCGCACATTTGCTTTTATTGCATTCCTTTTTTCGCACGCACGAGGCCTCAAGTTTTGAGCTCGCACTCCTCTTCTAAATGTCAGCTGTCAAATATATACTATATGCCCGCACACATTTTTAATACATATATGTTTATATAGGTATATGGTAAACTGGAAAAACTTTAGGTTTAACTAATAGGTAACAATATTAAAACAAATGATTATTTATATTATAATGAATTTTTATTTTCAAATAAGTTTTTTTGGCATTTTGAAACTTGAGTCGATATTTGAATTCATAGTTTATAGTTCATATCCAAATAATTTCTTCGAGTGTATATACTTACTATGGAAATTTAGATACGTAAGTCGGCTACTTCTGCCACAGTGTCCTTGAAACCGACTGGTGTGTGTGTGGGTGTGTTGTTTCTGTTGCCAAGTGTATGTGGACAGCTGTTAAAGTGACAACATCGCGTTGAAAATTTATGCGATTGCTTATAAATCGGATTTATTTTGATATGCAGGCCAGTGATTCATTGATGATACCGGCAATTTCTAGAAGCTCGAGTTCAGAGCACTCGTATAATCAGCATTAACGGTGTGCTAAATTTTATTGGCCTGGCTAACTGACTCAAGCAGAGAGAATTGAGCAATAAAAAGTAATTCAATTCATGATGGTTTTTTTATAACTCTTTGCTGATTAATATCTCATTTTCGTGATTAAACATACAAATGTATATTTAACTGTTCCCCAGATTTTAAAAGAAAACAATTACGCATTACCTTCAAATAGGGAAATAATAAAAAATTGCATCCGAAAGACCTCTGACCTAATGAAAATAAAAAGCCCTACTTAGCCTAATTTCCCACACAAGCCACTTAATCACAATGGAAACAAGTTGATGGATATCAAACCAATTATTCAAATCATTAACATAATTCCGATTATCCCACAAGACCAAAAAAAATGCAAATCAAAAGGTCGTTGAATCGCCCACAAAAGCGTATAGTAACTGGAGTCGCCCAGATAGTCGTCATTTGTATGGCTTGCCCATAATCACAAATAAATAATTAACAAATTTTGATTGAAAATGTCAAATTGCCATAGCCCTGAGCTAAATCCGTGCCGCTGAAGACGCACAAGCCGAAGAAAAAAAAATGAATATAAAATACAAAGTAAATTTGCATAAAAGCGGCGATAAAAGAGAGCGCCAAAACAATTTGTCAATGTAACGCCCAAGAGACTGCCACTCCCCCTCTCTCTTGGCACTCTTTTTGCTCGTAAATGAGGGCTAAGAGAGGGGACAGGAGAAAGGGGGAGGGAGAAGAGGAGAAGGTGGTGATGGCGTGCTAATTTGCGAAGGCAAAGTCAAAATAGAGCCATAAATATGGCAAATGTTTGAAGTTGTTTCCTTTCCTTCCGGACCATAGATCTCTCTATCTCTTTCTCCTGGCCCTCTACCCCTCTCTTTCTTTTATTGGCCATCATTAAGAAAACAATGCATAATAACACATTTATCAGCAGGCCAACCTGATGACTTGGAGCGGTCTCTCACCTTGAGCTTTTTTACATCGATACCGAAAAAACCACGATTCAGAAAACTCGTCTACCATCTCGATATCATCGAATTCGAAATTCGTGCAGTAACAATAAAAGTAAAACTAACAAAAAAAAAAGAAGTGGTTTACTAAACTGTTATTACATTTGCGATTCATAGAAAGAGTATTGTGAAAGGCAGTAGGGGAAGCGAATCGAAAGTGGAACGAACGGATGTCCAACAAATCAAGCATTCGCACTGTGGGCCCCATAAAATGAAGTTTGGACCTGTCCAAATGGGGCATCAGAACTTACGGTGATGCTTACGTGACGAAATTCCAAAAGTCCCCCAAGAATTCACTTTTTCCACAGTTCTATTTCGGTGACTGAGTGCATCAACCCTGTTGTGAATGCTTAATTGCAATCAAGTGCAGCTTAAATTTGCATTAAAATATAGTTAACTTAACAAGGTGCCATTAAGGTTTCTAATTTTTACAAGGCTATATACCCCAATTGTTGAAGATGATGATAAAGTACAATTTCGGCTTCATAATTTTCAGTTTTTATTTAATTAATTAGGTTCAACCGTATACGAAATACCCAAGCAAATAATGACTTTAAAAATCTTTTTTAAGATAAATTACTTAACCAACAACACCTTGATGTTTTAATTATTTTAAATAAGTTGTGTTTACTTTTAATATAATTAATATAACGATTAAATAATGGCTATTTACGCAACTTATAAAATATGTTATGACAATTATGTGCAAGTTCAGCTTCATAAGTCTCTGTTTAATGTAGTCAAGACAAAGACTTAAATAAAAAGTGAGGAAGCTTAAGAAACGAACGCTAATAAAATACCATAATTACGATTATTAATTTGCAAACCCCACATAAACTCATAACTACAAACCACCTTCTTCACACATATATGAGCCTACTTAACTTCGGGTTTGAAGACTTCCATGTTTCCCAAGACCAACGTTTTTCCATGTATTAGCGATTACATCCAATGTTGACCCAAGCAAATAAATGGTAATTCAATTAAGCCGTATCTAAATCAAACACGGAGCTTGCCCAATTTTTCCACTGTAGATCTGCAGATAGGTGAACCCGAATTGCAGTTCGAACCCGATTCCGAATCTTCCAGCTGTTTGCTGAGTGGTTATGGCGCTGCTGATCCGAAAATCCACCAATCCAAAAGGGTGGCCCAGACACAACGTAATGCTCCACTTACTTCCTCGACTTCGGGCACATACACACACAGCCCAGAGGTGCTTTCAATTTGCACAAAACTCCACGTAAATTACATAAGTTGACCATAAAACCCGGGGGAAACGGAGCACTTACAGGAGAAGAAGCGGCAGAATGCGTGAGGTAAGTGCACCTTTTTCGGATCGTCTTTTTGGAAGACCACAAACCAAAAAAAAAAAGAAGAAAAAAAACTGGTTGACCAACTGACCTTGAAGCACTTTGGAGATGGGGCCCGCTTACGCAATGCAATACACCCCGATTCCAGTTCGATCTTCTTCTCTACACGAAAGTCAACAAATTGCAGCTTCCCCAGCGACGATTGCAAAATTACATTTGAAGTTTTCGGTGTTGATGTTGAGTTTTTCCCCCAACAACACCGCATGGCAGATCTTTGGCTTGTCAAAAATGTAAACACAAAAGTCTCGGGAGGGGAAAAATTAAAAAAAAAAAAACCGAAAAATAAAAAAAAAGATGTATAAAAAACGAGGCGACGCCGCTGCCGACGCTGCTGCTTTTGGCCAGGTCTCAAGTGCGATATAAAAGCCCGGCCACAAGCCGCTCAACGATCCACAGTCCAAAGTCGCTTGCAGCGAAAGACATCGAGTGCAGAGAGTTTAACCACCCCAGAAAATATGTTCAAATTCGTGTTGATCGCCAGCTTGCTGGTCGCCATCGCCTTCGCAGCTCCCGTGAGTGTTGAAAAAAAATTGAAAAAAAAACCCAATATAAAAAGACATAGACTTGGCCAAGAAAGTTTGCGGGTCTACAAGTTTCCATTTAGTGACAAAGAAATGAGTTTATAACGCGTTGTTGCTGCCGTGTCCGTTGATCTTGCTGCATTATTTTTAGGATCGCACGCACTTTGGTCGCTTGGTGCTGCGGTCCATTTCGCACTTCTCGAAGCTGCCGCACTTGACATTGCCGCAATAACTGCCACTGGATCCGGCTAAAAACGAATTAAAAAATTTTTATAAAAAAAAGAAGAGGATATCAAAAAAAGTTCCTTAAACAGCCAAATCGTAGAAATAATTTTAAAAGGATAACGTTTTTTCTAGCTGAACTTGAAATCTTATAAAAGGAAAATACTTTAAATTTTCATGATTTAATTACCGAAATACTTTTTGGACCTTTAAAACATAAAACTTTTTCTTAAAAAAAATCCTTTCGGGTCTTCGTAAAGCAAACTAACTATATTATAAATTTTTTTTTTTTGTTTTAAATATTTGTCTTAGCAGTCTTGAAAAACTTTAATTTAAAATTTGTGGATTTCTTTTTTATAACTTACTGTTTTTGCTGCCAAAGGGCGATTTATCGGCTCCGGAATTTCCCAGCAAATTGGGCTGCACGCAGCTGCGGCCGTTGCATAAATTCGGGCAGCACTTGCCACCAATGGCGCTGCACTCGCTGTCATGCAGACACTTGGGGGTACAGTTTTGAACCTTTGTGGATGAAGGACAATCTGCCAGATAAAGGGAGTTCGTGAAAAAGCTCGGAAAAAGCTGTGAATTCACACTTACCACCCGCAGCAAAGGCAGCAACCACAAAGGCCGCAATTAACAGGGAAAGAAAGCCAAGCTTAACTGCCAATGAGTAAATAAATGTAAAAGCCAATTCTTAATGGTTCCGCATTTCGTGCGAATATTTGTAGCTTTATATATTTGGACGTACCCATGATGATAGTTGAACGTCCGCTTCGTTACTATAGTCAACTTCGACTGGCGTTGATCGGGCTTTATATGCCGCGATCGCCGGTTTCGAGTCGAACAAGTTTTCTGCTTATTTGCGTTTGTATTTTTCATTTTTCGCATTATTTTTTCGTATTTTACCTCCTCAACTTGCCTTGACGCGGCGTACTAAAACAAAGGTACAAAAACACACGGACAAAAGCAACACTTATCATTTTGACTTTGAATTTACATACAAACAGGATCGAAATAAACGATCTCTGAAGACCCTACCTTAAAAACAATATATTACGTTTGAGTATAATATTTAAAAGAAATTTTATACTTAGATGAAAATATCTATGTAGTTAAAGGCTAGAAACGAATTTGAAAATTGAAAAATAATTCTTTATACTTAACACATCTCAACAGAGTATGTGCAAGCCGTATAAGCCCAAAGACATATCAGAGCTACATCGACATATTTCAATTACTATTTCCGTTCATGCACTCGCAAAGACTCGGGGGAAATGTGTCAAAACGTCGTAATGAATTTATCAATTCTTCTTCTTTGACTTAAATGACGGTTGAGTCATGCCCGCAAAGTCGATGTTTACACGAATCTTCGAAATCGAGATAAAACTCAGTGAAACAATAAGTTTTCGTGGGTTAAGCGGAGTTTTTAGTACATGCAAGTGGTATAAACATCATGTAATCATTTCAGTCGGACAACTACATATATAACTTAATAGTTTTGCGGTTCAATGGGCCATTCAAAGTATTACACCGTCTCGCTAATTTCTTATAAACTGCAGGTATTGGGGACTCCCAAGTCTTTCTGGCTGAGGAAAAATACTTAAAGCTTTAGCTTGAAAACTGGTTGAATTTATATTTAAATTACCCATGAATAATTAAGCTAAAAGGGGTGTGTATTTTGTTTTGACCGAGAAGGTTTAATCAGTCGTTCTCAGCAGTTTTAGGCTCAAGCTAATTTTTTCTCACGAAGGCTAAATTTATGTTTTGGGGAGTTCGTAGAAAAGTTCATGTTTTTTAATACGTTTATTTTATTTACATTTTTCAGCGCGAAGAAACCGAACAAGAAAGGATAGACAGGGAGGAGCTCGAGAAGTACCAGAACGAAAACGCTTCATACCAGTTCAATGCCAAGGTCGACGATCAGATCAACGATGGACAAATTACGAGGACTGAGGAGCGCGAAGGAGGCACCGTGCGCGGTTCCTACAGCTACTTTGATGGATTTGTGAAGCGCCGTGTCGAGTACATCGCCGACAAGGATGGCTACAGGGTGCTCAAGGACGAGATGGAGGATGTTGGTGACGGCCCACGATTCAATCCCGAAGGCCAAGCCGACGTTGAAGGCTCTCTGATCGGCAAATACTCCATCAAGTTGGACAAGGATGACGATGAGAAGCACTACAAGGACATTCGTGCCTAAGAGATATTTGAGTGGAGGATTTCTAACATTTAGAAATGGACTGAATACTTCGTAAAGCCCTAAAGTAGAGTAGAGCACCGTCAGAACTGCTTTTGTATTTTTCTCCCAAAATAAAGTATTGACAAAATTAAAAAAAAAAAAACCTTGAAATATTAATGTCTCCAAAACCGAAAAGTGTTTCCGAACGACACCATACACTATACCATCTTTCTTTCTTATTTTCAAATTTATTTGTAATAATGTTTATTTATTGGTTAATTTTGCGGTGAGTGCATCTAGGAGCAAAATGTTCTGTTCTTCGTTTAGGTTTTGTTTTTGAATTTGGTTTTATTTTGCCATTGTGTCTTGCTGATGTTGCTGTTGATTTACTGGCTATAATTCATAGTTTCCTCATATTGTGTTCGTATTTCCGTTTATAGCTTTTCCTCCCTTCGTTTATAATTTGCATTGTATTTTTGTATTTATCAACAGTTTTAGCTTAATATATAGGGTCTTGTTTTGAAATTAATTACGTGTATTACATTTATGTTTATGCGCTACATGCTAAAGAAATGTGGGCGTGGAGAGTCTTAGAACGCTTGGGTGAGTGTGTATGTGGGGGTGTTTTCGGGTGGATAATACTAACTTAGAAAATTACAAATTAAAGCCTAAGCGCTGGGCCCAAGCGTTTTCAAAATACATTATGAATATTTCATAAATTACACAGTAAACTAAAGTATACTCGTACTTATCATTGATCAAGTTCGTATATTCAAAAATCGAACCAACCGAATCACGCACATACAGCGAATAAATTATAAAAATATAGTCATCAGACGTGAGTGAGTTGATGCTAACCTAACTTCGTGTTTTTCATATTGTTCAATATAAATTACACTTTAAACATAAATATTTACAATTCAATTAGTTTCTTTAGTTTTTCATGCTTTACTAATGCCTTTTCCTCATTCATTTTCGCTTTGCTGTACTTCAAAATCTATTTTCAAATCGAATTCTATTGTTTTGTTTTAGAGTGCTTGTGATATCCTTATACAATCACAAAAAACAACGAGTATCTTAAGGGATATGCAACAAGCACAGAATACACAACACTAGCTTGCATTTTAGGCTCAACTTCTTTTCCCTATCTTTATACAAAAAGTGTTACGAATTGCCAGTTTGCTTAGTTTACATGAATTGCAAATGAATTATAATATACAAATATGTATGGTTGCCACTGCTGCGTCTGTGCGTAAGCCTCTGCACTTGCGTTCTTTTGTCTGGTTTGTTGTACAATTGGTTTTCGCCTTCGCTCTTTGATTGCTATAGTTCCCAAATTAAACATTCGGTATCTCTCTACTGGGGTCGACTAAACATACGGGTCTCTAAATAACTACAATACGTTATCCACCTCATCTGATCACGCAGGCGACGCAGAGCTTGGCCGCACCGATGCAGTCGTCGTGGCAGAAGGCTCCGCACTGCTGGCAAATCACCATGGCGTTCAGTGAACAGGCGCAATTGTTTGGCGTGGGTGTAGCTTCATTTCCCGGCGGAGTGTTCTCCCCGCTCTGATGCATTTGCAGCAGTGGATGCTGATGTTGCGGCGCGGATTGCTGCTGGTTGATGGGCGAAGGAGCTGCCGTGGGTGCTGTGTTGGTGGTCACGATGTAGTTGTTTCCAGCCTCCATTAGCGCCACGGCCGGTGAGTTGGAGTTGCTGCCATCTATGTATGCGATGTTGGGTCCTAATTGGAAATAAATATATTAGTTTAAATGCCAATAAACAATCTTATACTCTATGGCTGAATACTTACTAATAATTAACTATAAAATATAATAAATAAATTGTCTTAGCAGGGACCGAACAACGTTGCAGTATATTTCAATAATGTTCAATTATTTCTAGCTATTTAGTTATTTAATAAAAATGAAAAGAACTCAATAAAAAAAACAATAAAATAAATTTTGCAAACGGACAAAAACTAAAACAATATTAGTATCGGTCCCTCACTTATACGACTTCTGGAAAGAATTTATATATACATGCAACATGGCTAGAAGAAATACATAACAAAATGGTAATTCGAACACGTCGGTTAATCTAGCAAATCTATGCAACAAACTAATGATTGCGTGCCAATTATGGTAACATGACCAATAGGTTGATGATTTTGAGGGTGGTGATTTGAAAGACGTACCTCGCTAACCACTAATAATACACCAATTTACCTGCAGCGATATTGCGCCGCACAATATTCGCGGCGGCGCCCACATTGCCCAGCGGCTGTGGCTGCTGATGCTGTTGCTGCTGCTGTTGTTGCTGCAGTTCGTGGTGGTGATGATGCAACGCATCTGTGGCGGAAATTGTTGGCGCCATTACGTTGCCGCTGCCTGCAGTTGTATCCACCGATGCTGGACGCCCGCGTCCTCCCATGGGAATGCCGTTGAGGCTGTGCAGCGGATTCTGCACCGTAACAAACTAAATGCACGATAAATCAGTATAAGAAAAAAGTTTGTTTAAATGGTATGGTATCACTTACCTGATTTTGATGCAGAGGTGGGGCACTGGATGCCCTGGGCGCTTGGTTATCAGCTGCTCCCACATTGGCCCGGTGGACAAGCACATACTGCCCGCCGTTTTGGTGAATCAATTGCTCCGGTCCCGCCTGCTGCGGACTTTGCACAGGCACTGGCGATGTCGTCGATTGATGATGCTGCTGCAGCAACTGCAGTTGTTGAGGGGTCGCCGTAGCTCCACCAGGACCGGGACTAAACACATGACGGATGAGCGTGGTGGGTGAGGGCTTCCTTTGCACATATTTCTTCCGCGGAAAGCCACTCATTCGGGGACCAATGACCTGGAATAGCCAAGAATACATTTAGTAAGGCAGCAAATAAACTAGGGTAAATCAATTCCTACCTTATACACTCCCGGACGTCCGACACCCATCACATTCGGCGGCAATCCAGCCGGCAGAGCTCCGGAACCAACTGCCCCACTGACCAGGAGCTCTTCTTGCTTTAAAATATTTTGCGTTGGAGCTGAGGACACTGCCGCTGCCACACTCCCGCTGGCCGTTGTCATGTTGGACATGGGTGTGGCCGCCACCGTTGAGACATTCAGGGTCACGGAGTTCGCAGGTGTGGCCGCCGTGGTCGCCGTCGGTTGCTGATGCTGGTTGAGTATCGCGGCCGGAGGGCGCAACTGGGCCTTAAGGTTCTCGCGATTCGGACTGTTTTGTATAACCGCCTGGCAGATTTGATAGCTTCGCTCCAGGTTGACGGCGCCCGGTGGCAACCTGTTGCTGGTTGCCTTGCGACCCTTGCCAGTTGGCATTTTCGGCTGCAGTCTTTGCTGGGCAATGGTGGATGGCACCCCCGAAGACGGCAGGGTTTTCATCGTCAGCACATTGGGAATCGTAGGCAGCTGCTGCATATTGCTGTTGTGATTGGCTAGCTGCTGCTGCGGCTGTTGCTGCTGGCCTGTTTGCTGCTGCTGTTGTTGTTGCGGGGCAGGTACTGGCGTCGATTGCTGCTGTTGCGCGGCTGTCACAGCAACAACATTGGCGTAGGCGGACGGAATAGTTACGGTGTTTGCTGTTGTTGCTGCTGTGGTAGGCGATGCATTGGCAGGTCGCGTCATCGAGATGATATTCAATGGCTTGGGTATGAATTTGGCCTGTGTTGTTGGCACAACGTTCTGCTGTTGCTGCTGCTGTATCAGATTGTTGTTAGCCGCCTGGGCCAGCATTTGTCGCTGATGAAGTTGCGCCTGTTGCAGGGCAAACTGCTGAATTTGTTGTTGTTTCTGTTGTACCACAGCCTGCTGCTGTTGCTGCTCCAATTGTTGTTGTTGCTGCTGTTGTTGGGCAAGCAAGTTGGGTGATAAGAATTGTTGGGTTCCGTTGCGAAGAGCCACTGGTAAAGTCTTAGCCAAAGCATTGCTACTCGTAGCCTGCTGTTGCTGTTGTTGTTGCTGCTGCTGTTGTTGCTGTTGCTGCTGAGCTGCAGCGGCCTGTAGCGTGAATTGTTGCAGAAGCTGCTGTTGCTGTTGCTGGCGCTGCTGTTGAAGCAAAAAGTTTCCAATTATCTGCCCATTGGAATCTACCAGAATCTGTCGTTGTTGCGGTGCAGCTGGCTGTGAGTTTTGCTGGGCCTGCTGCTGTTGTGCTGGTTGCTGCGGAAGCTGATTGATGGTGAGACTGTTGCTGCTGCTGCAAAGGCTTAGATTGTTGCTGCTGTCGTTACTGTTGCTGCTGTTGGTGATTACGGTGCTGGACACCTCCATTTCGGCCGCAGACATTGGCACAGCGTCACAGAGCATTTCCTGGGCGATCTGTAAAATATTATTACTTCATTGTTTTTCCGTAATGTTTTTTCTATTCTGAACTTACGTCATTTCCATATTCGCTGTGAGCTTGCGGCATGAACGAGTGCTGAGCCAGTTGAACCACATCCTGAATATGCAATTGCTGATGTTGCTGCTGCTGTTGTTGTTGCTGCTGCTGATGTTGCTGCAACTTGTCCACTATTTCGCGCACTGCTGCACTATCCTCATCCATCATCTGCTGTTCTTGCTGCTCCTCGGTTATACACTCCACAACCTCGTCGTCTTCCTCCTCTTCCTCGTCCTCCTCATCGTCGTCGAGCACTTCATGGCACACATCGTTGTCCATAATATCGTCAATGACGTCGGCATCCTGCACCACATCCATCAGATCAATAGCTTCATGGCATAAATTTCGTTGCTGGTCCCCAACTGATTGGGAGCTGCTCAACTTGATGTCACCAAAGTTCCAATCATGCTGAACATGCTCCATCGCATTGGAGTTCAACTCCTCGGGCAACTCCTGCTGCTGCTGCTGTTGTTGTTGTTGCTGTAATTTGGCCACTGTTGAAAGCATGGCTTGAACATTGGTCAAAGTGGTTTCTGCTGTTGGCGCCAGCGTTAATGGAGCTGTGGCTGCCCCAGCCGAAGACGATGTCGTGGGTGCGGTTGTCGTCGAGCCGGAATTACTGCTGGAGCACGAAGACGACATAGAGGCGGTGGAGGAGGATGAGGAGGTGCAGCTGGTGGATGTTATCGAACTGGCTGGCGTCGATCCAGATACAGAGCTTGTGATGGGCATCGGTGAGTCCTCCAGCTTAACATTTTGCTCTTCCAGTTTGCTGGCTGCGGTTGTCGTCACTGCAAAGTAAGATAGGAAGAATATATTATATTGGTTATTGAAATACTTATGAAATAGGTAAGTTTACTGTTGGACGATGACGATGAAGTGAAGTAATTGTGATTGATGGCTGATTGATGGTCTTGAAAATAGGCTGATTAAAAGGAATTATGGAATTAGTGACTGATACTGGGAGTTTTTGAAAAAAAGAGCATACCGTGATCGATGGTATCCGCAAATACAAAATCATGGCTATTGGCTGCCTCGTTCGAATTGTCCAAAGGCGCTTTGGTTTCTAAAAGTTAATTTACCAATAAAAACAAAGAGTTCGTTTCATAAGGAATAGAACACTTACCAGCTGCTAACTCAACACTTTGCAAGTAGCTCACAAAGTGGTTGACCACCTCCGGATTGGTTGCTAAAGTTTCCGGCTTTGGTGTGGGTGGGGTTACAGCAGCAATCGCTGGCATCACACTTGCAGCAGCTGGCGGCTTAACTTTATCTACAGCCTCCAGCTTAATGGCAACAATCACCTCCTCACTGCACTCAGATGGCTCAATTTTATCACAGGTACTGTTGATAAGTGGCTGATGTTGGTTCTGCTGCTCCTCCTTGGTTTTCGTTTCCGCTGCGACATGATCCACCACATCTGCATCTGGGACAGCGAAAACATTCACTGAAGCATTAGGAACAATTTCGGTCATCTTCGGTTGTTTGCTATCCTTCGATGTACTTGGCAGCTCGTCGGGATCGTCGTCCAGGGTAATAGTGGCTATCGTTGTGGGCGTCTGCTTGCGTTGCGAAGGACTGCTCGATGGACGTTTGAGGATGCGGCGTTGCTGTTCGTTGAGCACATTATTCTGGCTGCCGGTGGAGCCAGAAGGCGTGCTGGTCTTAGCTGCTACTGCTGTTGCTACTGTAGTTTTTGTGGTTGCTGCTGTCGTTTCGCACTTTGTGCTCTGCAAATTAAAGATATTTATTTTCTGATTAAGTCAAATATTTTTCAGTGTCTTACCAAATCAAATTTTAGTTCAGTCTCATTATCACATGTTGCTTGTTGTTGCAGTGGTTTTTTTTGCGATGTCGCTGGTGGTTCAGGCTCACTCTTCATGCTTGCCAAAGGCTTCTGCTCCTTGGCATTGCCTTCTGGATTCTCCTTGCTCCTGGAGTTCTTCTCGCCCCAAAAGGGCTCAAAGTGCTTCAGCTTCCAGGGATCCAGCTTGTTCTTCTCTCGCTCTGCCTCCGTTCTAAGCTTTAGCTGATTCTCCGGTGTGAACTCACCTTCGCTTAACCGCTCCCGCCACTCTAGGCAGGCTCGGGCGAAGAACTCGTTGTTCAGGCAGGAGGCACTGAGCCGAATACCCTCCGAGGAGCCGCCTCCACTACCGCTACCACTGGGTAGCTCCAGCTCGCTGGCCTCGCGATCTACGCTGGGCAGCAGCTGTATGAGATTGTATTGATAGAGCGGAGGCAGCAACGAGAACGTTTGCTTGTTCAGCAGCGCCCTAAGGTTGGTGGAGGCCAGTATGGAATCGGGGGTCTCCAGGTCGATCTTGCCGTCTTTTGTTTGCTCGATTTGCGCCGCTGTCGTTAGCTTTTTATTGCTCCTGCGTCGGGGCTTAACACTAAAGCCGGGTATGGAGGCCAGGACTTCCCGCATGGTCGATGCTTGGGAGGAGCTGGCCTTGCTACCAGGTGAGATGGCGGATGGATAGCTGGCGGAGGCTTGGGCTTGAGCTGAAGCTGCCGCCGCTGCAGCTGCTGCCGCTGCCGCCGCCGCCGCTGCTGCTGCCGCTTTGACCTGTTGCTGCTGCTGGATGCGTCGACTGCAGATGAGGCGCGTGGGCGGAGCTGGAGCAGGATTAACGGCTACCTCTTCACTGGGCGCCATCGGCTTTTTCTCAGGTGGTATGGGTTTCACGATGATGCGTGGCAGGTGGCGTCTAAAAGGACAGATCGTTAGAAATCTTCTTAGTTTTGGTGCAAGCGATTGCAAAGCTCACCTTAAACTGTGCGTGTGCTTTGTAGAGGGGGACACCTCCAGCGCCAGTGGATCCTTCTCGTCATCGTCCACCAGATTCACATGCTCCATTATTATCTGATGCGGTGGAGCGGCTAACAAGGACTGCTGCTGCACCATCGGCTGGTGATGCTGATCCGCTTGTGGAATGAGAAGTTGTTGGTGCTGCGACGCCGTCGTCGTCGTATCCGGCGTTATGGTTTTCATTATAAATCGCTCTGCCTAATCTATTTACAGCGAACTTTTGATCCATGCATCCATGTCAGGCAAGTTTCTTCCGCACATACTAGAGATACACAGATAGGGTGGGAAATTTAATAAAATTGCATTGTTTTGTTTGCAAGGGCAGTTGAATGAGTTTTATGGGCAGCCTGCTTGAGAAAATGCTACTTTCGTTTTGATTCCGAGGACTTGACCAAAGTTAGCTACACCTTAGTTAATGATTATACATGCAAAACCAAAACTCAATAAGGAATTGTCTATTTAAGTGCATTGATAACTCTATCTCGAATTTAGTTGCCCTATTAGATCGGCCATCGAGTTAATTTGGCTACTGCACGATTACTCCAGGGCGCTGCACTAACCTGGCCAGCAGTATTGTCCATTTTAAGGCAAAACTGTCTGTATAATTTTAACGTTGCGCCCTTTGTATATGTACTGCCATCTGTGTAATGTATGTGCGTATGTATTTCGTTAGATGTGTGTCTGTGTTTGATTTTTTATATGTAATCAAATTGCGGCTATACAGGGATTTTTCTCTTGCTTTTACTTTTCGTTTTAATTATCGTTTTAGTTTTTCATAAGATTTTCTGGGCTCGCCAAAAGAAACCAAAGAAACAACAATGTAATGGCAACAACAACGACCTGCGAAGTTGTTGGTTGGTTATATTTTTTTCTCACGCACGCACACAAACACACACACACACAGTGACACAGAGAAGTAGAAAAATCGCTTTTGTTACTATTCAAAAGCCTTTCCGCGGGTATTTAACCTATTTAGTGTACGGGTTTTTAGCTCTACTGAAGCACTGTCTTTTGCATAATGCAGATTTCCGTCTCGTTAATGGCTCACTAAATTAAATATTGAATGGGGGAAATGTGAATGCCAAACACACAAACAAAGCAGCTACAAAATGATTCTTTTCTAGCTAACTATGCCGGTCCCTGTCTGGCGCACGCGTTTCGACTATCGGGTCCAGCTCCTGTCCCTCTCGCACACACTACGCAGAAAAGCTGCGTTTAATTGAATGAAATTATTTTAGTTAGTACAAACGCCTAATACTAATCACACCCACTAGCCCCGCACCTTGCGTCCCGCACTCCACTCCAATGTTAAATTGTTTTTCGTGGCCAGTTCTAAACGCGGAACGCTCGAATTTTTAGTTAGGGTTGTCGAAAATGTATCAAAATATCAGTATATCGATGTTTTTCGAAATGATATAAGCAATGCCGAAATCTGCAAATATCGATATATAATTTGCCTCCTAAAAAGCAAACAAAACGAATATATTTCAAAATAAGGAAAATTCATAAAAAGTTTTGAAAAATTTTAAGTATGTTTAGTTTTGTGGGGGTTAAGGTTTTAAGAAATGTTGTTTTAAAACGAATATCAATTATTTTGTTTCGGATAATCCGGTAACGAGTAAACATTATACACCACTAATAATTTTTTCCAAGGCGCTTCTGGAGATTCGCCATCAAAAGCTTATTTATCAATATTTTTCATTGAAAATTTATTTTTAATATACCATACTAAATTTTAAAAAAAAGCGTAAATATATCCTTTATTTTTGTCATTAAGCCGTGGCCAAGAAAAATCAGTCAAAATGCTTATCCGATAACTAATAAGAAGCTATAAGGACTGCACTGCCGGAGGCCGATACCTTTTTTCCCGCAATCGATAGTTCCGCAGCTGCTGTGTTGGGCCGGCAAATTGTTTTACTTGCTAAATTGTTTAATAATGATTTTCAAGTGCGCCTGAATCCAAACCCTTTTAATTCAACGCCAACCGGATTTATAGCCACAATGTTTTCGATGTGCAAGCAGACGCACGCCGCTACGGCGCTGGAGTTTTCGATAGCGTGCCGCTTCTTCAACAACTTGGAGGAGAACCTGGTGGTGGCAGGCGCCAATGTGTTGAAAGTGTACCGCATAGCGCCCAACGTGGAGGCGGGCCAACGACAAAAGCTGAATCCCAGCGAGATGCGATTGGCGCCCAAGATGAGGCTGGAATGCTTGGCCACCTACACCCTGTACGGCAACGTGATGTCGTTGCAGTGTGTCTCTTTGGCGGGAGCCATGAGGGATGCGCTGCTGATCAGTTTCAAGGACGCAAAGCTCTCTGTTCTGCAGCACGACCCAGATACGTTTGCCCTGAAAACCTTGTCACTTCACTACTTCGAGGAGGACGACATACGTGGCGGTTGGACAGGACGCTATTTCGTGCCCACCGTTCGCGTTGATCCCGATTCAAGGTGCGCAGTTATGTTGGTCTACGGCAAACGGCTAGTGGTCCTGCCCTTCCGAAAGGATAACAGCCTGGACGAGATTGAACTGGCGGATGTGAAGCCTATCAAGAAGGCACCGACGGCCATGGTCAGTAGAACGCCCATTATGGCCTCGTATCTTATAGCATTGCGAGATCTCGACGAAAAGATCGACAATGTTTTGGACATTCAGTTCCTGCATGGATACTACGAACCTACGCTGCTCATTCTCTATGAACCGGTGCGCACCTGCCCGGGAAGGATCAAGGTGCGATCCGATACTTGCGTTCTGGTGGCCATTTCATTGAACATCCAACAGCGAGTGCATCCGATTATTTGGACGGTAAACAGTCTGCCGTTTGACTGCTTGCAGGTGGGTGTGAAAGCCTAAGGCACTCGATTTTCCTACATAAACACAATCTTATGTCCTTATATCTTTTCAGGTTTATCCCATCCAGAAACCCGTTGGCGGCTGTTTGGTAATGACCGTTAATGCAGTTATCTATCTTAACCAGAGTGTTCCCCCATACGGCGTTAGTTTAAACAGTTCGGCGGACAACAGTACCGCGTTTCCGTTGAAGCCACAGGATGGAGTACGAATCAGTTTAGACTGTGCAAACTTTGCTTTTATTGATGTAGACAAACTAGTTATCTCACTACGCACTGGAGACCTTTACGTGCTCACACTGTGTGTTGACTCTATGAGGACTGTTAGGAATTTCCACTTCCACAAAGCAGCCGCAAGTGTGCTAACCAGTTGCATTTGTGTTCTGCACTCTGAATACATTTTCCTGGGATCGCGGCTTGGTAACTCATTGCTGCTGCACTTCACAGAAGAAGATCAGAGCACGGTCATTACGCTGGATGATGTGGATCAACAGGCGGAGCAGCATCAGCGAAACTTGACGGAGGAGGAACAGAATCTGGAGGAGATTTTTGATGTAGATCAAATGGAAATGGCCCCCACACAAGCAAAATCCAGGCGCATTGAAGACGAAGAACTAGAGGTAGTACAAAATTGAAGCTTCAACTACTCATTAACTTTAATCACAATTTTTTTTTAAGGTGTATGGCATGGGTGCTAAGGCTTCAGTTCTTCAGCTTCGCAAGTTTATTTTTGAGGTGTGCGACAGTCTCATCAACGTGGCTCCCATCAACTACATGTGCGCCGGAGAAAGAGTCGAATTCGAAGAAGATGGAGTCACATTGCGACCGCATGCAGAATCTCTGCAGGACTTGAAAATCGAACTGGTTGCAGCCACGGGACATAGCAAAAACGGAGCTCTTTCCGTGTTCGTCAACTGCATAAATCCGCAGATCATTACAAGCTTTGAGTTAGACGGCTGCCTCGATGTGTGGACCGTTTTTGATGATGCTACCAAAAAGTCTTCTCGGCACGATCAGCATGATTTCATGTTGCTTTCACAAAAAAACTCTACTTTGGTTTTGCAAACAGGGCAGGAAATTAATGAAATCGAGAACACGGGCTTTACAGTCAATCAACCGACCATATATGTTGGTAATCTTGGCCAGCAAAGGTTCATTGTTCAGGTGAGTTTCCATCGATTAAACTATTTTGTATATGGTAATGTATTTAAATTATAAATACAGGTTACCACTCGTCACGTCAGATTACTGCAGGGAACTCGTCTTATCCAAAATGTGCCCATTGATGTTGGTTCCCCAGTGGTGCAGGTATCCATAGCTGATCCTTATGTTTGCCTGCGAGTATTGAACGGTCAGGTGATCACTTTGGCACTGCGAGAGACGCGTGGTACTCCCCGCTTGGCCATCAACAAGCACACCATAAGCAGTTCACCCGCCGTGGTTGCCATCTCCGCCTACAAAGATCTGTCAGGATTATTCACCGTCAAAGGAGACGATGTCAATCTGACGGGAAGCTCAAACAGTGGATTTGGGCACACTTTCGGCGGTTACATGAAAGCTGAGCCCAACATGAAGGTGGAGGACGAAGAAGACCTGCTGTACGGCGATGCCGGAAGTGCATTCAAGATGAACAGCATGGCCGAATTGGCAAAGCAATCCAAACAGAAAAACTCCGACTGGTGGCGACGTCTTCTCGTGCAAGCAAAGCCAAGCTATTGGCTGGTGGTGGCCCGTCAGAGTGGCACCTTGGAGATCTACTCCATGCCGGACATGAAGTTGGTGTATCTCGTAAACGACGTGGGCAACGGAGCTATGGTTCTTACGGACGCCATGGAATTTGTGCCCATCTCGCTGACCACTCAGGAGAACTCTAAGGCGGGCATTGTCCAGGCTTGCATGCCGCAGCATGCGAATTCTCCACTGCCACTTGAGTTGAGCGTCATTGGATTGGGACTAAACGGAGAGCGTCCTTTGTTACTAGTGAGAACCCGAGTAGAGCTGCTGATATACCAGGTATTCCGGTATCCCAAGGGGCATTTGAAGATCCGCTTCCGCAAGCTAGAGCAACTTAATCTGCTGGACCAACAGCCGTCTCACATTGAGTTGGACGAGAACGATGAGCAGGAGGAGATTCAATCCTATCAAATGCAACCGAAGTATGTCCAGAAACTCCGGCCATTTGCAAATGTAGGAGGACTTTCGGGCATTATGGTGTGTGGAGTTAATCCGTGCTTCGTTTTCCTAACCTCACGAGGAGAACTGCGCATCCATCGACTCCTGGGAAATGGCGATGTGCGCAGCTTTGCCGCCTTTAACAATGTGAATATACCCAACGGCTTCTTGTACTTCGACACCACCTTTGAGCTTAAGATATCAGTGCTGCCCAGCTACCTAAGTTACGATTCTGCGTGGCCGGTGAGAAAGGTTCCGCTGAGATGCACACCAAGACAGCTGGTTTACCATCGCGAGAATCGGGTGTACTGTCTGATCACCCAAACGGAGGAGCCGATGACCAAGTACTATCGGTTCAACGGGGAGGATAAGGAGTTATCCGAGGAAACCCGCGGAGAGAGGTTTATCTATCCGATCGGCTCGCAGTTCGAAATGGTTTTAATATCACCCGAAACCTGGGAAATCGTTCCGGATGCATCCATAAGCTTTGAGCCCTGGGAACATGTTACCGCCTTCAAGATCGTAAAGTTGTCGTACGAGGGCACAAGGTCAGGTCTGAAGGAGTACCTTTGCATTGGAACAAACTTCAACTACAGCGAGGACATCACCAGCAGAGGAAACATTCATATCTACGACATTATCGAAGTGGTTCCCGAGCCCGGAAAACCCATGACCAAGTTTAAGTTAAAGGAAATTTTCAAGAAGGAGCAGAAGGGACCCGTGTCTGCCATTTCAGATGTGCTCGGATTCCTGGTTACCGGACTGGGCCAAAAGATCTACATTTGGCAGCTGCGAGATGGGGATCTCATTGGTGTTGCTTTCATAGATACCAATATCTATGTCCACCAGATTATCACTGTGAAATCTTTGATATTTATCGCCGATGTTTACAAGTCCATAAGCTTGCTGCGCTTCCAGGAGGAGTACCGAACTTTGTCGCTGGCATCGCGAGATTTTAATCCCCTCGAGGTTTATGGCATTGAATTCATGGTGGACAACTCGAACCTGGGTTTCCTGGTGACCGATGCGGAACGCAATATAATTGTCTACATGTATCAGCCAGAGGCCAGGGAATCGCTTGGTGGCCAGAAACTGCTCCGCAAGGCGGATTATCATCTGGGACAGGTGGTGAACACAATGTTCCGCGTGCAGTGTCATCAAAAGGGACTGCACCAGCGGCAACCGTTCCTGTACGAAAACAAACACTTCGTTGTTTATGGAACGCTAGATGGTGCTCTCGGCTATTGCCTGCCACTTCCCGAAAAAGTGTACAGAAGATTCCTCATGTTGCAAAACGTCCTCCTCTCCTATCAGGATCACCTGTGTGGCCTGAATCCCAAGGAGTTCCGTACTCTCAAGTCTGCCAAGAAGCAGGGCATCAATCCCTCGCGCTGTATCATCGACGGAGATTTAATTTGGTCATACCGCTTGATGGCCAATTCGGAGCGGAACGAAGTTGCCAAGAAGATCGGCACACGGACGGAGGAGATCCTGGCCGATCTGCTGGAGATCGAAAGACTGGCCAGCGTTTTCTAGACATCCACTCTCGTCAAAGATGTAAAGTTTTAGTTGGTAGCTCTATTTGTAGTTTATGTTACGAGTATCTCAGTTGTAATTCTAGTTTTGTAATACAATCAAAGCCACAACAAAGTATTTTGTTAAGCAAACCTTGAATTTTTATTGTATTGGCGGGACTTGTGAGCTAATTTAAAAGATGCTTAAAATGTATATAAGCAAAGCCGCAACCTCTTGTTTTTTTCAATTCCAAGGGATAAGCTTCCAACCTCTGCTTAATGAATGATACAAAATTGTGAAGCCAACCCAATAAATAGATCAAAGTTCAAGAAAATTATAGCCTGGCCAAAAAGTAAAAAACAATTGAACACATTAAATTGGACGCTTTTTGGTGCGTCTTGCCTGCCTCACAGTTGGAGCTGATGGCATTCTTTATGTATCGTATAATATATATAATGTATCTGTATACTAGATTATTCATTGTATAAACTAACAACATCATCAGTATCAGTATCAGTTAGTTAACTCAATGTGCAACAGCCAACGACAGCCGTACACTCGTCGTACGAAGAAAATACACATTTCCAATCGAAGATCATCCGAAAAAATCAAAGAAAACTTATATAGATGGTATAATTAAAGAAATTGCAAACTGTCTGCTTAGTTGGTACGTGGTAGTTGGTAGGTGGTGCGTATGTGGTTCAATGTGGGTGAGTTTTGGGTGTCTGTGGAAGGCGCTTCGTGTCTCCTTGTTTCGTTGAGCAACTAATTTAGTTAAGATTAGCGAAAACAATCTTCAAGGCGGCTAGGCTATATGCAAACAAAGTATGCGGATTACGAGCTGATAAATTTATGTGTACGTAGTGGTGACTCCAAACTCCCAGCCCGCTTGGCTAGCCCTCGATCTGGGATCGCAGGCGGGGGCGTGGCAAATCCCCGAACACAGCCTCGCCATGGACGCTTTTGGTCAGCGCCTGGATGCTGGCCGCAATGTCGATGTTGTCCATTCCCTGTTCATAAGAGATCAGCCATTAGTTATGTATAAAATGTGGTTTTAAAATAACAATCTTACCTCCTCGCAGCCATGCGCAAAATTGTTATTGTTGGCCACGACAGCTCTCTCGGCCAACGTGGTGTTGGCTATCTCGATGGGCAAACTCCTGGCAAAGTTCATCAATTGCGCCTGGTTGGGACGTCCTGCTCGCACTGGTATGGAAATGGAGCTGTCCGGGTCGAGAGCATCTGCAAAAACTGATGCTTAGAAATTGTTTCCATCATGATTGAGCTTCGGAACTTACCCTCCGCTTCGTCGGCAGCATCGTCGTCCAGGATGCTTCCCAGTCCGTTCTGCTGGCTCAGCTGCTGGAACGGATTGTGGTTGTGCTCCTGCTGGTAGATCAAGCTGCGTGGGTAACTGGGAATGGGAACGGACTGAATCGTCGGCAGCGGCGCCGGTGCATCCACATCCTCAAGATCGAACAGACAGTCATCCGCATCGTCGGCGGCACTGGACTGGCCCACTCCGTTGGTGGTCAACATCTGGCTGGGTGTACCAGCACCACCGGCTGCCGATTGCTGCCGGAAGGTGGGACTGTTGCCCACGCTCATGGGCGTGGCTTCTGGGGTGGCGGGCGGTGTGTCAAAGTGCGACATCTTCCTGGCCACCGAGACACTCTGCGGCGGCTGCTGTTGATGTTGCTGCTGCTGCTGCTGTGCCGCTTGCAACTGTTGCTGCGGCTGCTGGTTGAGCGTGAGGAAGCTGGGCGGATGGTTCAGCGTGGTGGTGGGCGTGGTCGGGCCACCGTTCAACTCCCGCCGACTGCTGATGGTGTTCCTGCGCCGGGCAGTGGCACTCTGCGGCTGATTGGCCGCCACATCCAGGGCGGGGGGCATGGCACGATCCAGGAACTCCGAGGCCTGCTCGGGCAGCGCACGTATCACTCGGCAGAGCAGCGCACAATCCTGATCCGACTTCTCCCGGAAGCTGTTCAGCAACTGGAACTGGTTGCGCGTGTACCGCTCGATTCGCTCGTTTGTGTCCGCAATCTCCTCCTGCAACCGCGCCTGCTGATGCGCCTGGACCATCCTCAGCCTCTGGGCCTTGGCATCCGTGGGATTCGCAGTCAGCGAACCAATGCTCAGACTCGAGGCGGAGTTGGCTATGCCACCGGTGGGTCCGGCTGAGTCACTGTTGCCCGCTTGATCCATGATCAGCAGCTCGAAGGTCTCCGAATAGAACTTATTCGACTTCCGCTGGGCCAGCTCCTCGCTGCTGGTCAGCAGTGTGCTGTTGATGAGGTAGAACGTGGGGGTGGCTCCCGCCCCCGAGGTCAACCGCTTGGCGCAGAGCACCTCCTTGCAGTTGATGCACAGGCTGAGCTGCCAACTCTGGCCGGCGGCGTCCAGGGTGAGGCCATAGAGCAGCTCCGGCTGGTTGATCGCCGCCACGGTTAAGTCTGGAATGGGTCCGTAGGCCTGAAAGTAAGAAAACAAATTAAAGGTAAGTTATATGAAATAATGTAGATAATAGGTTTACTTCTATATTGCTTATTCAACAGAATTGTATATAAAAATCCATCTTATTTATTAAATAGTATAACTTGTTTATAGAACTAAAGTTCCGAGCTTTCCCTCAGTGCAACCCTCACTTTCATATGGCTGGATTACCTTTGGTAAACAACTTGATAAGACCCTCCACGCAGGCTGGTCAATGTCTGATAAAGGGGCTTACCAATTTACCCCATCATTATCTGCGATTCTGATCCCCCCTGGAAATCCTTTCTTCGATATTTACCCAGTCGACAGCCCCGCCGCACAGTAGTTCAAGTGCAAATTTGTCAATTATGTTCACTTCGAGTGCTGCACCCGATTGTCTGCAAACTTATCGGAAAACAAGAGCCCGCTGATGAACATGAAAACAACAAACAATTAGCGCAATGGCAAAGTGATGTCGAGGCACCAAATAAGCAGAAGACTACTTGAATTATTCAGTCTGCCATGGTGACAAAAAGACGATGTGATGGGTAAACAAGTTTCCGATATCAAACAATCAATTAAAAAACAGTCTGCTTTAAAGTTTGAACTACAACAGAGAAGCAATCAAATGCTGACCCCGAAATAAAAGACAAACAAAAACCTCCCAAAAAGTTACCACACACAGCCTTCTACTATAAACTATAAAAAAAACACCACCCGCAATCCCCCCTTTAATTTATCTATATAAATTCCCCCATATCTGCGGCATTTATGCAAAATAATTCCGGCATGTTTGGGATCGTAGCACGTGTTTGCCGGCTGACACTGGAGAGAAAAACACTTTTTATAGACGTGCTCGGCTAAATTTGACACTCGCGTCCAACACAATCAAGCAATGTTCATATTGCCTGGACAATAAAGTAACCACAGGGGGGGCGGAGGGGTTGAGGGGGCGGGACACTGGACACAAGTGCAGCAACAACAACTCGCACACGTATATACACAGAATTAAATTGAATTAACGTACGAAATGCAAACGTCAACAGAAATCCAATGACAATGTTGCCCGTCAGCTAAGCGCTTCAACAGCTCCTGGATTTCAAAGGCATCGTCTTCCACATAACCATCATCATTATTGTCAGGTGGGCAGAGGAAAACAAGATTATCTCGCACCTTATCTGACATTATTTCAAAGAATCACAGATTCTGCGGTCCATCAAAAATATCTTTAGTAGAAAAATATGCATTCTCAAAAACAAAGTACAAACTTAAATAGATATTTTTATAACAAAACATTAAATTGTCTGTATCGTTCATTTACTTAGCTAAACTCAATTTCCGGCATTTGAAATTTGCAGCTGCATTTGCTTGTCTTCTTTCGAAAATAGTTTTCGTTTCCATTGCGGTCACACCCACTCAAAAAATAATGTTTTCAATGCAAATTGCAAGCTTGTTTACACCCGGTGCGGTAATATCTAATCAGCTTCAGTCAGTCGGCGTCAATAATTATATGAATGAAACAAAACAGAAAGGCAGTAAATGTGACAGAGCAATTGCATTGTTGTCAAGTGTTTTGGCATTCTGCTGTTGTTATTATTGCGGCCAAACGCATAAACATATTTATGGGCTCGGGCCTATTTGCTCAGTTCAAAATTGCAGTTTTATGGCTGTTTTCGTAACCACAAGACTCGACTTGTTGTTCTTGCTGTTAATTTGTTTCGCTGATGCCCTCTAGACGTGTTTTTGTTTTAAGGGGTATGAGTTTGTTAATGAAATGTGTTCGATTGAAAGGCAGATAAGATAAGCCTTAACAGACCAAAGATTACATTTGCAACAATGATTTTTAATTTTAGATTTACGATTTTATCTTCTGAGGGTGGCTAATTTAGATTAGAAGGATTTTCCATACTGATTAAAGTAATGGTATAAAGGAGATAAAGTAAATGGTAGCTGGGTAAACATGTTTTGATTTATATTAATAACTACTATAATGGTAACTATTAAAACCGGTAAACAAATTTAACCTCTTAGACTGTTTTTTTTTTTGGTATATGGTTTGGTAATCTCAAGATTATAGGGTAATTTAGTAATCGATCATGGCTGATTACCATTCATCATTCATTCTTGATTTTTTAGCGTTATTTACAGTCTTTATGGCACAGCTGGCTAAGCTTAAAGTGGGTGTTTTTGTTTACTCGGCTGTGCGGCCCCGACAGCCTGACATTATCAGTCGGGTAGTAAAATCGAGCGTCGAGGGGCTGCTTAACACCCAGCACAGCCATCCTGGATACTTGCATTGCATTACCCTTCTTTTTTTACCCCTTTTCGTTGAGCGTTTTGTAAGAACTGGCGCATCTCTCGCAATTTGCCATTCGCAATCCGACAAATGTCAATGACTCCTCTCAGTGACTTTCAGACTGCAATGACAACAATTGAAGGCAATAGCCGTCGTCTCGTCACTTCATTGGGTTGCTTAATTAACGTAACTGCTGCCTGTTCGAATTATCGGTTCTTGCTTAATTGAAATTAAATGTCTGTGCTGCTGTCCTGCTAATTATGCTGTGGCGCCACCTAGCGTCCGGAACCAGTGGCTGTTGGCTGCTAGCAGTTAGCTAATTAAATAACCGTTTACGTTCGACTTTGACGTATGACCGTTTGTTTTATGGCCAGCCCGACATTTGATTAATTGCAATCGCGTCTTGCGGCCCAAAAACAAAGTAAAATAAAACCACGTAAATAATAATAAATAAAACATGGCGTGTTCTTGCTGGACGAACTGCCGAAAGAGATGGCAATTGGCCAGCAGAACGAGACACAAAATCGCCTGAGGAAACGCGCCAAGAAGCACGTAACTCCGCTGCACGCTCTCCGCATATCGGAAATCAATATATGTAAATCGTTTTAATTGAGGAGCGACATTTAAATAATGTATGCAATCTAGACGGAATCAATTGCATGTGTGCCAACTGTCGAAATCGTTGTCCAACTGTCAACGAGAATCAGTGGATCTCTCAATATGCATAGTTGATATCTCTAAAGGTGGAATATTACTAGACGAGCGTTCTTCAACACCTTTGGCATTTGAAAAAAAAAACAATAAATACTTTTGAATTGCGATATAGTTCTTCAGATTGTGACTATCTATATCGTATTACGAAGTTTGCCTAACTATGCTATATTATGTTATGCTCGAAAAATAAAAAAAAAGTTGTATAGTCATTATCATATAGTCATTATTCTTTATTAGAATGTTCAGATTTTCATGGTAAGCAATTATTATAATAAAATCCATTTGATAGTTTTTTGCTCTTTAAAGCAACTCAAACTTATCGCTGTACCTGCGACGTTTGAAAACACTTCTATTGGTACACCATCTCATAATATGACCATAAAGATGGCCATAACTTGAGAGTTATGTTCCTGCAATCTCAGACGGGAAATACAAGTGCAGTATTATGGACCACTCAAGTGCCTTTGCCATTCAGTAATGCTGTATAGCTAATAACGACGGCTGTTAAAGCCTTTTGCTATCATCGAACTGTTGCGCACTTGAACCGCCGCCTGTGCCTGTGTTTCTATTTTATTTCATTTTTCTGTCTGGGCCAGTTTAAACAATTGAAATTCATATCAGAGTGTCTGGCAATGCAGATCCCCCGCTGGCTTATGCAACCAGAACGATTCCCATAAAACAAACAACTTTAGAGCAGAATGTATGTAATAATTTTCGCGTTTTGCACATTGCTGCATAATTAATTTGTTGTTGTGCGAGGCAAGTGAGTAGTGTAATTGATTGCCCGGCATTAATTACGCTTGTGGCCTGACACTCGATGTGTCTAATGGGTCTACTTAGGGTCCCTCAACCGCCTTCTGAGCCCCCCATTCCCCTACCATTTTCTATTTGTTTATTTTTTTTGCATAGCAATTCGCCTTGCCTGAGTGAGGGAAAAACAAATAAACACATTTAGCTGTGACCAAAGGTAAAAAATCTGCTGATGACACACAAAATAAAATATTTTTGGTCTAATGGTAGTGATAAGGTGATAAGAAGATAACGAAATAAAAAAAAAAAACATTTTTCTCTAGCTCTATTATTGTGGTTGCCTATTTTCATTGGGTTTTTTATAACCATGCATAGGGTGTTTTAATTTTTATGGTAACCCCTTTATAAATGTCCAAAAAATGGAAAAGAAAAGCGCATAACTTTTCTAATTTTAATCCGATTTGGAAGTGGCATACCTTTAAATGTTTGTTCATATTTCAATTCCCTAACCAACTGCTTCATTAGTTAATTTGTTTATTTTTTGCCCGATTTTTTTCAATTATAATAATGCAAACCTTTTTTATATAATTAAACTTGATATGAGGCACTTAAAAGTGCTCTTTCACCCACATTTCTGGCTCAGAGGGGCAAGACTGCAGAGGGGGCATTAACCTGTTGCCAGTGTTAACACCTCCGATAATTACCAATCAATCAGACTATCAATCATCCGTTGCTGCCGCACCTTTCGCCCAAAAAAAAAGAAGGAAAATAACAATCATTCGCCCGATTGACGCATTTTCCTTTGTTTTGTTTTCCATTTCTATTTCTATTTTCATTGGATTTTACTTTTTTTTTTATAGGTTTGAGATAAGTTGCCTTGTTTCGTTTCATCGGCAGAAACCGAAACTGAGCCAAAAAGAAAATAAGTTGTAAACAAATCAACTGGCAAAAGAAACTACGAAATAATCTTTTATAGATTTGGATCCCCCATCCTCGAAAAAGGGGGAATGGAACGGAGGGGTTCGCTCTGGGGTGCGACTTGGTTCGCCTGGCTGCTCACGAATAATACAATAATACCCTCTTCCTCTTCGTTTTATTTTTATTTTATTTTTTTTTATTTTTTAGTTTTGCCTCTTTTTTTCTGTGTTGTCGAAAAAAAGCAAACACATTTCGCTCAGATACGTCGCCGTCGTCGTTGGCCATTATCATAAACAACTTTAGACAGCTGGGGACACACGCG